CCTGAGGAATTCACAATGTTGTGGCTGGCATTACTTGGGAGCTGGGGTTTCAGTTTGGGAAGATTCTTGCTAGAGGTTGTAGCTAATAAACATAGCTGGACAAAATTTACATGGTCTATTGGAGTTCCTTGGGCTAGGTCTGACACCAACCCAACCCAACCCAACCCAACCCAACCAAACCACCATATTGTTGTTTAACAGTTTTCAGCTGAAATTCAGCACTGAAATTTCAGGGGGTTTCAGGGGGTTGTAAATTGGGGGTGGAATCCATGGTCCAGAAATAGCTGCATAAAACAAGGAAACGTGAGTCTGGCATTCCTATTCATATCCTTTATTGTTTATTATGGTGGAAAATAGAAATCAATAGTTTTTCTCACTGTAGAGACTAGGGCTTGGCCCCAAGCCTTACTTTCAATAGCAGGACCAATCCTTGAGTAGGGACACTCTCCTTCATGGAAGAGGGAGAGTAAATTTTAGCTGAACCACTTGGGTCTTTTGAAAAACTTTTATTGTCAGCCCTGTCAGGTTGACCAGACCTAGAAATCAATTCCACAGGAAGGCTATAACTGCCTTTATTGAGATTGGCTATAATAACAGGATCTTCCAAATCTGATGGTTCTGTAACCTACACCCAGCCCTTCTTATACCTCTGTGTATCAGGGAGGTGTCTGTCTGAGCCACTTTTGAGTGTTCTGAACTTTAAAAAAAACATGTTTCAGTCACATTTGCCTAGGTAACAGGTCCTGCATATTTCTGTCAAGGCCATAGGAAGGGTAAACTAGAAAAAAATCAATTTCCTTCCCCTTTTGATCTGCTGCTGGATCAACACCTTAAATGGAGAAAAGAAACCATTCCATTGGGGAAGGCTGCAGTCAAGTCCAACTCTGTATGTTAAATTCAGTGTGCCATATCTTTAAAGAGATATTTTAAAATTTGTATTTACCTGCTATAGTTGTTGAATGGGGTACAGGTGGCAGTTCTGTGAAAAGAAAACATTATAAAACGTTTTGTATGGTCAAAAGAATTCAGAGATCTGCGGGCACTAATATGTTTCATTTTGATGTCCTATCAGCATACAGTATAACTTCATTGGCAAGCAATCATGTGAATACATAATGCACAGTTAATGCATATATCTTGTGAATGCAAGTAGTCCTCGCTTAACAACCACTCATTCAGAGACCGTTTGAAATTACGACATGCTGAACGAGTAGTACTTATGACTGGTTCTTGTACTTACAATCGGTTCAGCATCCCCATGTTCACATGATTGTGTTTCGCATGCTCGGTAACCAGCCGACATTGCCGACTGGTCACGTGATCACAATTTGCAACCTTTCCTGCCAGCTTCCCACAAGCAAAGTCAATGGGGAAGCTGGCATGAACTTGGAAGTTGCGATCACATGAAGTCCTCACTTAATGATCTGCTCAGTCCTCACATAATGACAACAGTTGAAAGTGCTGGAAATGCTGTCATAAAGTGGTGCAGTCATGTGACATCACACTCAATGAATGAGCTGATTAACAATGGAGTTTCTGGTTTCAATTACTGTTGTTAAGTGAGGACTACCTGTACCACGATGACCAAGTATCTGGGCTTGTATAACTGTGATTTTGCCACATGAAGTTATAGCACATTCATTCAACATAATGTTGACATAAACACTGTCAATAAATTACAGTTGCTTCATGCTTAGCATGAAGCAACAGTAATTTGTCAACAGTATTCCAATGGCAAGTTATTGCTGAATAAAATAATTATCAGCAATATACTTTCCATAGTACTGTGTCCATTTCCATGGTGAAGCTACATTCTAGGGTACATATAATTGCAGAAATGTTCAGCATTAACATCAGGACAACTTTTCTTCCCATTCAAGAAATACCTAATTTTTTATATTAAAAAAATAATTTTCCAGCCACCGTAATATACATAGTATATTTCCTAACTGATCAGATATCATAGTAAGTGGATAGAACAACAAAGAATCAGTATTAGGAACTAATTACAAAATAAGGTAATCAGTTAAAATATGCTCGTACTAATGGAATTAGTAAAGTTGGATAGACTTGAAGAACATTTCTGAACACAAGGTTGTTATTGAAAATTGGAGCTCTTTTCTTACCACAGGGTATGCAGGCTCCCTTCTTTAAATCATAGAACTTGCCACGTGAACAGTTGTAACAGCCTAAAAGAAAGGGTAAATATATATCTTGATCACTATGCATTCTTTTAGCTATGCACTGGTCTCAAAATAAGAGTTAAGAAATTCTTAACATTTGTAAATGAGCCTTGTACAATTAACTAACATTTCCACATTTGATCAACTGGGCCCATAATTTTCCACACAACATTCTGAAAAATATTGACTGTTTTTTTAAAAAAACACATCTTTCTGAGTTTCTGCTTGCTTTTTTTAGTTTTTCGCATCAGACAGTAGACAATTTAACTGTTGCAAAATTAATGTTTTCCTTAAATTATTGCAGATATATAATGATTTTATTAATTAATCATTTAATATTGATGACAGGATATCAAAAGTGAAATTGAATGGTTACATTTTTACAGTCTGGAAAAGATAGAGACCATTAGTATAAAATTGGAATCCACCTCAGTAGATTTTGAAGACAAATGTCTTTGATGAAGCCAGGATTCTCTGCAATGCTCTACTGATTAGTTAGTCCTTGTAACTGTTAATTAATTAGACCTTGTAACTGTTAATATTAACAATTTCAGGTCTCTCTTTTGATTTAAGCCTCATAAACTGCAACTACAGTTGTTAGATGAATTCAGTGTTCAAAACTGGGACAAGCTGAGCCTAACAAGATAGTAACTAATTAAACTCATCAATTTTTTTATAGCACTGTCTTGAAATCAATGCCATAAGATGAATTTAAGGAGGCTGCTCAAAATATTTGGACAAGTGTCTGGAGTTATATCTGGTGGTATGACTATGTACAAATTGCAAGAAAACGTAGTGAAAAAAAGACTTCATGGGCAATCTTTTGTAGCCATCATTGGCTAAGACGGTTTCTACTCTGAAAAGGCAAACAATATTACTTTACCTTCAATGTTGACTTCTGTTACTGGTAACATATTTTGACATTTACAGGGGCGATAATGCCAGGTACAATTTACTTCATTAACATAACTATAATCCATGCCAATCTTCCTATGGGTGTTGAAGAAGTCACAGTATACAGCTAAAAGTACATAGAGAAAGTTATTGTTCAAAAGGTCACAAAATCACCTATTCACAAGATCACCTAGATGGACAATGAACAATAACAGTGATGCCAATGTTCTGTTCTCCCTTAAGTCGAGAAAATCAAGTTGACAGTTGTGCTTTGACTTCTGATACAAAGAGATCTGTATAGAATTATGTTTAAAAAAATGAACCAGCAGTGGATTTCAAACTCATTCCAAATCAGTCAAGGAAATTTTTGCAGATGGCTCCAAAATCTGAGCCTTTAACGTACAGTTTTAACATACAGGCTTTTAGCATTGTCAAAATGCTCCGTGGACCTGAAGAATGTTAGCATGTTGGTTAGTTTCCTTTGCCTGAAACTGCACACAGAAGATATTCGATAGTTTCTTGCAGCTGCACTTTGTAAAGACTGATACAAAAGACAAGTAGTCTGTGCTAGAAGTTGTCTATCATGACTTATCTTCTCATTAGAAAGCCCCAAAGAGCCTCTGAGGAAGATAGCCATGTGTTCTAGTTACACCAAACATTCCTCTATTTTAATAACTGCCCATTTCAAGTCAGATATAGAACCACTGGAAGAGAGGGCAAAGGCCTTGAAGTTTCCCTCCAGTAAACTGAGAAAGAATTTCAACATGTTTGAAGAAACTTACGGCAGAAGTCAGGGGTTCTCCAATCAATGCAGACACCAACATCTAAGCAAGCTTTTGCATAGACTGCAATGGCATCACACATACATTCACAATCTCCTCCACTGTCACATCCACATGAGTCTCGGACACAAGATTCATAGTAAGGCATCCAGTATACCTGTAGTGGAAAACAAAAAGTCAGTCTGAAAAGGGTTGTTTTAGAAAAGATACTTCTTATGTGTTCAGCAGGAGCCAGTAAGTGATAACCACCAGTTAAATAAAGCAGACTTTTTTTGCAACTGAGTTTGCTATGATTTTCTTTGACTCGATTTGAACTGGACTCAGCAAACTGAGATCTTTTCTCGCAATATAAAAATAGCTCATTAAAAAAAAGTCTTATTTCAAAAGTTCAACCCTTACTGAACTTTGAGTTGCACTATGGGGGATTGGATAGTCTCAATGTTTCCTTGAGTACTCCAACTCCTTTCTATTCCCACTTAATGATGGCTACAGCAGTAAAGTTTCTTAGCCTCTCTTTCAACTCTCCCTCTTTCTTTTGTGCCACAAAGGTTGCAATAGCACCCACAATATATTCATTGTTTAGGATCTCTGATAGTTAGCATGCTGATATTATCATGGTGAAAGGATTAGGGATGGATGAATATCCAGGTGCTTGTTTCAATTTGAGCTGAGTAAGACTTTTCTGGGAAAATAACGACCACAGCAGAACTGACGTTGTAAGTCCAGCTCAGTAATGTGACATTTCACTTAACGACTGTATGACGGAGTTGCAATTCCAATTGGAGTTGGTAAGTGAGGATTACCTGTAATGTTCTGATGTTTAAATAGATTTGAAAATAGTCAAAATTGCCTAAATTAATAGATTCAGAAAGAGAGAGACAGACAGGCTAACTATCTGGGTTACCTTAATCTTCTCTAAGTTAAACATATCCACTTCTTTGGCACTATCCCATAGAATGTCATGGGTCCACCTTCATCACTCTCCTCTGATTTTGTTCAGATTACTGCTGTCTTTCTGAATCTGCCACTCTGCTTAACTGTGCTTTTCAGAAACACAACATAGCTTATTTTATGGCCTATATTCATACCAAGGATGATTTGATCCATTATATTCTTTAGGTGTACCCCAGAGAAATGGAATATAATATAACAATGTGAAGTGTGAATGCAGCAAACAAACGTGGAAACACTTGCAATAGCTCCAGTGCAGAGCCATTATTATCAAATGTTGACTAATATTATATAATATGTGAAAAACTTAATTTTAATATGAATGCATGTGTTTCCGTGACTTCCCGCAGTTTATGGAGGAGGTGAGGGAGATGAAGCAAGAGAAGAGATGTCTAGAGCATTGCTGGTGCTCAACCAAGGATGAGCTCAACCAGATACAGATTCAAGCAGCTATTAAGGCCTACGTTGTGATGGTAAGGGCGGTGAAGTGACAATACTTCTCCGCCTTTATTGCATCCACAGATTGCTGCCCTGCAGCCCTGTTTTGGGTGACACAAGCCCTCTTGGGTAAAGGAGGCCTGCAGCACCTTTTGCAGGGGCATGCACAAGAATTTGCTCAGTATCTGTTGGATAAAATTGCTTGGATTAGTTCACAACTGGATGCTGGCTTTGCTGTAGGTCCAGAGGAGATGTCTGGGGAGGAGTCTTGCCCAGTTATCTGGGAATGATTTGAACCTGAGGAAGTGGACAGGGTCTTTTGAGCTGTGAGCTCAGCCACCTGCTCCCTTAGATCCATGTCCTTCTTGGCTTGTGAAAGCAGCCCAGGGGCTGTTGTGTGAGTGGGCTGTAGTGGTGGTTAATTCTTCTTTGAGGGAAGGGATTGTTCCATTGCCTCTTAAAGAGGCTCTGGTGTGCTCCCTCCTCAAGAAGCCATCACTAGATCCCACCATACTGGACAAATTTTGTCCAGTATCTAACCTCTCTTTTTTGGGTAAGGTGGTTTTGCAATAGCTTCAGAGGGCCTTGGATGAAGCAGATTATCTGGATCCTTTTCCATCTGGATTCAGACCAGGGTATGGGACAGAAACAGCATTGGTTGCACTTCTGGATGATCTCTGGTATGGGCAGGATGGAGGCTGTGCATTCATCCTTGCCCTTCTTGACTTTCGATACCATCGACCATGGTATCCTTCTAGACTAGCTCAGGAGATTGAGGGTGGGTGGCATTGTGTTGTGCCAGTTCACCTCCTTCCTGTGGGGCTGATTCCAGTCAGTGGTGATTGGGGAGGAGCGATCCCATCCTTGGGACCTGTTATGTGAGGTGCCACAGGATTTGGTACTCTCCCCCTTTCTATTTAATATCTACATGAGGCCGCTGGGTGAGCTCATCCATTGCCACTATACATCTCTGCCCTGGAGAAGTAAGTGATGCTATGGATGCCTTATCCTGGTGTCTGGAGGCTGTGAGGATCTAGATTGAAACAACAGACTTCAGTTGAACCCTGGCAAGACTGAATGGCTTTGGGTTTGGGGACCTGCCAGTTCTGGGACTATACCATCTTTGGTGCTGGATGGGGTGGCCCTGCCCCAGGCAGACCTAGTGCACAATTTGGGGGTCCTCCTAGACTCGCAACTCCTGCTCAAAGAGCAGGTGGCACTTGTGGCCTTTGCACAACTCCATGTTGTGCCAATTATGCCCTTTTCCGGATCGGGAGGCTCTGGTCACAGTCACCCATGCTCTAGTCACCTCCAGATTGGACTACTGTAATGCACTCTACATGGGGCTGCCCTTGAAGAATATCTGGAAGCTTCATCTGGTGCAGAATGTGGCAGCACATTCCTAGAAGACCACACGTTATACCTCTGCTTCGCGAGTTGCACTGGCTGCTGGTTTGCTTCTGGGCCCAATTCAAGGTGCTAGTTTTGACCTTTAAAGCCCTTCATGGCATGGGGCTGGGTTATCTGAGGGACTGCCTCTCCCTGATCACATCAGTCCATCTCATTAGATCTGGCAGGGGAGGTATGCTATATGTTCCAAT